GATGCCAGTCTCCAAAAATTTCATGATAAAACAAGGAGTTAAAAAGCCACTTTACTTTGAATAGCATAGTAAATATATTCATAAACATGCTTTTCAGACCATAACTAAATAATAATGCATTTGCTTCACATACTGCTTAGGATGCTTGATTAACAAGTTCTAGGTAAGTTTGCCTTTAGACAAGAAATAGGAGAAAGTAAAACACATTTTTATATGTTTCTATATTTCCCTCCTTCCCTTAATTCTACATTTCAGATATATTCTTTTTCCCTAATATATTCAAGATATAAATAAGCAGAAAACCCATTTCTGATACTTCACCTTTCTTTCTGTAAGTGTGGCAGCTTCTGGGGCCCGATAGAGTGCAGCTAACTGGGACAAATCCTATGGTGGCTGTGATTGTTTAGCTGTTAAATAACCTCTTGCTGGTTCCCCATGTGTTGCCAAGGTTAAGCAAATATTTAGGTGTCAGGCACCATGTGAGGCACTTGGGATGTGCTAGCATGCAAGACACAGTCCCTGATCTCTAGGTCTGCCTGGTGTGGAGGGTAGACGAGCAGATAAAGAGGCAATTTCCAGGGGGTGTGAAGTGTGTTAAGCACAGGGTGTTATGGGAACATGGAAGGAACACCTAAACATTTTTTGGAAGTCATGAGAAGCTTCCAGAGGAAATGACATTTGAGCTAGCCGAGACCTGAAGGCTGAGTAGGGAGTTAGAAGGATTGAGAAAGTCGTTGCAGCAGAGGGAAGAGTATGTACAAAAGTATTAAGCGTGGACAGAATTTTCTTTGTTTTCAGAGTTTGGAAGTAGTTCTAATGGCTGGAGCTTAGAGTAAGAGAAGAGTTGTATGTTAAGCCTGCGTTGTTGGATTTTATCCTGAATGTATGGCGAATAGTTTGAAGTGTCTTGAGAAAGACAGCACTATGATCCTATTACTGAAATAATACTCGAGATGCAATGTGAATGGAATTGGGCAGAAATAGACACAGAAATAAAATTAAAAGGTTGAAAAATACTGTATTCATTTCTTTAAAGAGATACAATTTTCATATTTTATATTCCAAAGTCTGGATTCATTTATGATTAGCAGCATGTCTTCAATTAACTAGAAGCTTTAATTTTCTTTCTCAGTGCTTCAAAAACCAATAGTGTAGTTTACACATGATAGCAGCTTAGATTCAAATAAATAAAGTCAAGAACTATTGCAGTCTTAACTAAAATAGTACTAGAGTCATTGAAGAGAAGTGATGAGCAATCATGATGCATTTTAAGGGGGAGATCACCAGGATCTGCAACTAATTGCATTTGGGACATGAGATTGAGAAGAAGTTGATGATTTCTCCTACTTGTATTTTATTATCTTTATTTGGGCTGTTGGGGTTGTGGTTGTTCCATGCATTGAGATAATGAACTCAACAGGGTTCATGGGAGTGAGAAGGAGAAGGTGTGGGACAGGGGAGATAAAGAGTGAGGGTGAGCATCCTGGGGACTATCCAAGTTAGTGCTCCGTTGGGGATTATATCTACAGCTCTGTTAATGAAAGGAACCAGAACAAAAGATGTAGGCTTTTCTGATATGTTTCCTAATCAGCAAGTACATGAAATAACCACAGTTGTCGTGGGGTACCAGGGAAGCAGTTTCCATTCAAGGCTCCTCTTCCATTAGCATTAGGTCTCATTCCAGAACAAAGCATCTCTAAAGCATGAACTCTGCTGTTGAAGCCTCCATCTTCTGCATGTCTGTAGATTTCCCTTACAAGAGTCTAATCTTCTCTTTCCTGGATCTCCCACATCTTCCATCTCATGTGTTAGGAATAATCTCACCATTTTACAGGGAAGCCAAATGCACCTTCATTCTGTCTGAGTTCAGGAACCCAGATTTAAAAGAAATTAGCTGGGAAGTCTTACCTTTGTAACTTCAAAGATCAGGATGGAGGTATATAATCCTGTGCAGGAATAGTGGAAAGATAAAGAGTAGACTCCTCTGATCACTGCTCTACCTTCTCTCTCCCAGTGAATTTCTCCTGGACCACCAGCATCAGACACCTCTGGATTAGGCATCTGCCAAGAACTTTGCCAGGCACTGGTCACCCTTTCCAGCTGGATGGACTCAGAACCTGTGCTTGTGCTACAGGGGTAGGTGGGGAGGCCTGGAGCTGGTCGGTTTGGTTCGGTCCCCAAGAACTGTTTCTCCCAGGCAGCAAGAGCTCCAATCTGGAGTTCTGCCACTGTGAGTGTGTTGAGGGCCTTATGATAGGCAGTTTTGTGCTGTGAGATCGAGGAGTTCAACAATGGCATATGTTAGAAAGGAAAACACTTTCTTGTGTGTAGAATCATGCCCTTCACCAAATCTGTTGACTTCTTTTTTTAACCTGGGCCTTTTCTCTTGAATGCAATAAAGCCTCTGAAATGACTGTACTTGGCAAGCGGATCTCTTCTGTCATTTAAAACAGTAGAGAATTCACAGAGTAAGTGAATTACTTTGGTTTTCAATAAAAATGTTAGTATATATCTTAGGTGTGAACAAAGGACGCTGAATTTCAGTAATGAGATGATGAAATCCACAGGGGCTGAGAAAGATGAGTGTGTGGAGTTGATGGCCACTCAGCTCTAGAGTGAGAGAGAGAGAAAAAGAAAGAGGGAGAGATTGAGAGTTAGCATGACAGAGAGGAACAAAAACTTTGAGAAAGACAGGCCTTTAGAGGAGCTCAGATTATGCAAAATGGGCTTGAGAAGAGAGCGTTCAAATTGCTGTCATTTGCCAATAACATGTAATACTGCGAGAGTAGTTCTCTCTCCAGGAGTAAGAAGTGTGTGTCCTTCTTCTCTGATTCAGATATGTGGCCCTCTGAAAATTCTCTTTGGCATTTCTCTCAGCAGTCATAAAAAAGACACTAGAAAATAACCTTTTTCTTCAATTTCATAAAATGCAGGTATCCTTTAAAGAAGAGCAGAATAATTTTAAACAATGAGAATATTTAAATAAAAAGAAATGTTCACACCTATCAGCATTATGTTATTTTGTGTTTCAAGACTCAACTGCCAACAAAATCCACCAAGGTGATATATACTTTATTAATGAGATAGCAGAGAGGCTCCTCCACACAAGATTCTGACTGAATCACATTTTCTATATGGTGTTATTAATAATAATAATTCATCATTTAATGAGGATTTACTATGTATGAGGCACTGTGCTAAAACCATTTGCTTCCAATATCTCTTTAACTTTGGAGAACTTTATAGGTTGTACAATTACCCCTATTTTATAGATATATAAACTGAGGCTCAGAGAGGTTAATGACCTGCCTATAGTCAAAGGGATAATGGGGAAGAGTTGAGTTTTAACCCAGGTAGTGTAAGGAGGAATCTATAGAGAAAACTCACTATAAATGGCATTTTCAGGCAACGTGCCTCCCCTTATCTACCAGGAAGAGGCAATCCTAGCATTTGGATTCTACTTAAGAATTACTTTAAGATAATGTCTTAGTTTTATCTTGGAGTTTCACTCAAATGTCAATTTCATTTACAAGAAGTGCAATCATTGTTTTGTACAAGGAATAGATGTAAATAACTGAATAATGATGGGCATTCACATGGATAGATCTTCTGACCTCAGGTGTCCTGAGCCTTTAAATATCCCTTTCTTCTCAGACTTTGTTCAATCTTATAAAATCAAAAAGAAAAGCCAGGTATGGAAATGTTCTTAGTCACCCAGTCTATATGAATTTCCTTCCTGTCTCTATCTGAAATGGTTGGCCTATTTCTGCCTCTGTAGTTCTCAAAAGTAAGCTATGTAGAAATTTAAATTATTATTATAAATAAACACAAGTCATTAACCAGCTATAGTAATTCCTACAGAGAATGAATTTAATTGGTATTTTTTTTTAACCATCTTCTAAGTGAAACCTTACCCTTTTTCTGGAAAGGTAACTTAACTGACCAGGTCTTCCAGGGCTCAGTTGCATTTGATAATTCTAATCTTTCTCAAATAAATTCAGTGACTGGAGTAAAGGACACATCTCTAGAGGTGTGTCATTTGACAATAACATGTCAAATGCAAAGGAAAGCAGGAAGAGATAAGGAGACCCAGTAGCCTGCAAGCACCTATGCCTCCCACCCACCCCCACCCTAGACCTAATCCTGAACAGCTCATTGCCATTCTCTTCAGTGTTGGTGTTCATTGCCATTCTCTTCAGTGTTGGTGTTTGAAGAAACCACATGGAAAAAAAAAAAAAACCTCTCCAGAGGGATTATATCCAAATGTTAGGTTTGAGTTGCAGTAAAAAAAAATAGGTAATACCTGGAAGCATGACCTTTTGTATATGTGTTTGTTTTAAAAAGTTCCTTTTGGGATAGGCTGGAAGGTAAAAAATCAAAACAGTTCATGAAACTTGTTATGGGGCCATCCAACTATTTTTTTAGCTGCGAAATATTTACTTACTGTACCCTAACTACCAAGTAGCCTATCAACCAATATGACACTCTGCAGGCTCTGCCAGATGTCAGTATTGTACTGGTCAGTAAGTACATCGCATGAAATTATTTTATTTTATTCCTTGCAGATTCTTTAATGGGCAGTAATTCTCATGTCCCTGACTGACCTCTCAGGTGGGACCCGGCAGCAGACACACCCTAAGAGGACCCTGGTGAGTCATACCCTTGTGAGATCCTTCCCCTTGAATGCAGGATGGACCTGTAGTTACTTCCAGTCAGTAGAATATGGCAAAAAGAAGCCACTCCCTTGACAGGGTTACATTAGGTGGCAGATGTGCTGGGATGTCACTCCTATGATCAGGCAATGTCATATAAGACCCCTTTTTAGCAGACCAGAGTGAGAGAGTCTCTGGTTGGCTCAGAAGAAGTGACTCTAACACTGTGAGGTAGTCACTGAGGGGGACCTAGGGTGTCTGGCAGGGGCTGAGAGCACTCTGAAGCCAACTGCTAGCACAATCTGAATGATTCAATCACAGGGAAGACACTTTCTCAATATTCTGAATCAACTTGGAAAGGAATCCAAGCTGCAGAGGAGAACACAGTTCCCTGACACCTCGACTGTGGTGGTGGCCCTGTGAGATTCCGGGTAGAGGACCCAGGTAAGCTGTGCTGGAAACCTGACCTATGGAGACTGAGAGAATAAATGTGTGTTGTTTTAAGCATGGGGTCATTTGTTACACAGCAATAGCTAATGAATACAGATGCTCTGGCCTGTTTATCCTATTCATTTTCATTTTCTTGTTGAAAAGGACTGAGTGATAACAGAATTGTAGGGTATTATATACTTTAAATTGGTTTCAACTTTTCATAGACTTTAATAGCTCTGATAAAGGTTACTAGTAAAAAGCCCTTTAATTGTATATAAAAATGAAGGGTAAGTCATTGGTGCACTCAGATGGGACTGAGTATGGGAACCATTTATGGGATCTGGGTGGGCCAAGGACTTGTGTGGAGAATCATTGCTTTCTGCTTCCATACTGGGGCCTTTTTTTTGGCATCTCAGCTGCTAAACAATGTAATAACAAAACATGAAAGTGTTTTCATGATACCAATAGTTCTGTTTTCTGGGGTTAGGATGTAATCAGAAATGGCATCTGATAGACAAGATAGAAGAAAGAAGTTGTGGACTGTGACATTATTCCTAAGCAAGACTGAGAACTGTAGTTTAATGTGAGAACCTCTCTGATTAGCTGCTTAAAATTGGGTTTCTTTAAAAACTACCTAGATTTGTAATTATGTAATTAACTTATTCCCAAGGTAAAAATGTCAAAAATATACACCAAACTACAGATCTACTTCAACTCATTACTGGGTAACATTCCAGTAAACCCATTGTAAGTTGAACATGTCATCAGCCAAAAATGCATTTAATACACCTAACCTACCAAATACTAAAGCTTAGCCTGGCCTATGTTACACGTGCTCAGAACACTTACATTAGCCTGTAGTTGGGCAACATCATCTAACACCAAGCCTATTTTATAATAAAGTATTGACTAATATAATTGCTTGAGAGTGACAAACAAAATGTTTAAGAGTGCTTGTCATTGAGCCCTGTGATATCATGGCCGACTGGAGCTACCGCTTGCAGCCTTGCCCAGCAACAGGAGAGAGCCCTACTGCATATCACTCGCCTGGGAAAAGACTAAATTTAAAATTCAAAGTACGTTTTCTACTGAATGCATATCACTTTCACACCACTGTAAAGTCAAAGAAATTGCAAGTCGAACCATCATAATTCCCGGACAGTCTGTATCTGCTTCTGACTTCAAATCTTGAACCTTTTCCCCTTGGGCAATGGCTGCCAGCAGTTTCTCGTACATCCTGTCGGAAATGTGTGATACATTTAGACGCTCACATATCCTTTTGGAGCTTTATGTGAACACATATCTTTTGTACATATATAGGAGCACAGGACCCACTCTGTTCTTTAACTTATTTTTTGAATATAACAATATATCCTGGAGATTTTTCCATATCAACAATGAACTTATACTGTTTTAAAATAATTTTAAAATTTATAACTGTGGATGTACATATGTATATATATATATATGTTTTATATATATATAAATGTCCATATGACACATACTGTGTCACCAGTACTTTATATGTGTTAATGTAACAATAACCCTATGTAATGTATACTCCTTTGAACATCACTTTACAGATGAGGACACTGAGGCACAGAGCACTTAGGAGCTTGTCCAAGGTCACAGAACTAGGAAGTGGTGCAGCCACCCAGGTGTTTGCCCAGGCAGTAGAGACTCAGGGCTCATGCTAATTGATAATTGGGCTGCTTGCAGTGTTTTGCTTTGTTTAAATATATATAGCAAACTACATTATAAAGCATTTTTTGTTTTTTTTTTTATGTTCGTAGTTGCATAAGTCTATCTCTAGGATAAATTCCTCAAGATCAAATTTCTGAGTTAGAGGAAATGCACGTTTTTCATTTTTATAGATACTGTCAAATTGCCTTCCAAGGATATTATGACAATGTGTACATCCATTGCCAGTGTGAGAATGGCTTTTTCTTCACAACTTTGCCAAGACTGTATATTACCAAACTATTGCCAATCTGGCAGCTAAAAAATGCTATCTTTATTTTGCTTTAATTTGCATTTGCTTATAAGAGGGATTGGACATCCTTCCATCTGCTTATAAGCCACATGTATTTATTTTTCAGTGAAATGACTACTAATCTCTATTTTTCCAAAGGACTTTGGGTATTTTTTTATTGACCCTTAGAAGAGTTTTATATTTTAAGGAAAATAGCCCTTTACCTTTAATATATGGCAAGTATTATCCTGTGATTTATTTTTTGACTTTTGTCTTTGTTTATACTATTTGGTTTTAACCCCACAGAAGTTTTAAATTTTCATAAGGACTGATTTACCAATGTATTCTGTTATGGTTTCTGGATTTTCTAGTCTTGATTTAAAAAGTTGTGCAACTTCAATATTTTGATCAATTGGGATGTGTCCTTTCTGTTATTGTTTCATTATTTTTATTTCAAAATTTGATTCAGTTGGAATTTATTTTGGTGTATTACTTTTGGTACAAGGAAGAATTCAGCTTCACTCATTTTAAATGGCTAACTGGTTGTCTTATCAAACTTCATTGAATTGTCTCCTTTCCCCAGTTTTTGCATGTATTAAAGTGTCACATCTACTTGTGTATATTTCTGGGCTTCTCGTAACCACTAGGTCTGGCTACCTAGGCCTTTCTCTACTCCACCCCACTATCCCCTTACTTTTCATTCCAGAATTTTCTGGCTTTTTCCACATATATTTATTAGAATGTAACTTTATATTTAAAAGTTATTCTATTTTATGTTTTGAATAAAAATTGTATATATTTAAGGTATACAACATGATGTTTTGATATACAGACACAGTGAAATGATTGCTACATGCAAGCTAATTAACATATCCTTCTCCTCACATGGCAACCATTTATTTGTGTGTGTGATGACAGCACCTGAGACCTACTCTCTCAGCATATTTCCAGTATATAACACAGTGTTATTAACTACAGTCACCATGCACATTAGCTCTCTAGAACTTATCCATCCCATGCATCTGCAACTTTGTACCCTTCAACCAGCTTCTACCCATTTCCCCCTCCTTGCTGCCCCTGGTAACCACTGTGCTACTCTCTGTTTCCATGAATTAACATTTTTAGATTCCATGTATAAGTGAGATCATGCAATATTTTTCTTTTGTGTCTGGCTTATTTTCTGAGCATAATATCCTCCAGCAATTAAACTTAAAATTTTTTGTCTCTTTACCAAGAAATGCTATTCTTAATGATACCACATCACCTATTTAAATTAATTTGTAGGAAATGGAAATATTTACTATTAAATATTCTTAAACAAGAATAAGGTATGTAATTTTATTATTTTTGTCTAAGAAAATTTCAAGGTTCCCTCCCCATTTCTGGTCTATTACTAGTTTGTGTGTACTTGAGTGTTGATGTTGGTAAATACAATCTTCCTCTACTTATTTTTGAATTGATTGTATTTTTTGTTTAGGAAAGTAATTAGATTTTTATAATACCAATTTTATAACAGCTGCCTGAAATATTTTGTGGTTTCTTCCCTCCCCTCCTTTACTGCCTCCTTCCCTTCTGATTCTTTAGGGTTCTTCAGATATATAATCATCTCATCTGTAGATAATTAATTTTGTCACTCCTTTCCTCTAAAACTCTTTTTTTCCTTTTAGGTAATTAAATTAATTGGTACTCTCAGTACCAACTGAATAAAACACTAAAAAAGTTTTTATTACCTTGTTCTTGACTTTAATGGGTGAGCTGTTGGTGTTCAGCCACTAACAGTATTTTCTGAAGTCTTCTAGTAAATGTATGTTATGAATTGTATACCAGTTGTTTAAGGGTATCTTCCAGGTTTGGTCAAGAGGTTTAGAATTTTACTAGTGTTTTTTATTCTTTTATTTTTTATTAAAAATTTTTTTAATTTGGTATCATTAATCTACAATTACATGAGGAACATTATGTTTACTAGATTCCCCCCTTCACCAAGTTCCCCCACATGCCCCATTAGTCACTGTCCATCAGCATAGTGAGAGGCTGTAAAATCACTACTTGTCTTCTCTGTGTTGCACAGCCCTCCCCATGCCCACCTTCCCACATTATACATGCCAATCGTAAGGCCCCCTTTCCCTCCCTTCCCACCCCTCCTGCCCAGTCTCTTTCCCTTTGGTAACTGTTAGTCCCTTCTTGGGTTCTGTGATTCTGCTGTTGTTTTGTTCCTTCAGTTTTTCTTTGTTCTTGTACTCCACATATGAGTGAAATCATTTGGTACCTGTCTTTCTCCACCTGGCTTATTTCACTGAGCATAAAACCCTCTAGCTCCATCCATGTTGTTGCAAATGGTAGGATTTGTTTTCTTCTTATGACTGAATAATATTCCATTGTGTATCACCTCTTCTTTATCCATTCATCTACTGATGGACACTTAGGTTGCTTCCATTTCTTGGCTCTTGCCAATAGTGCTGTGATAAACATAGGGGTGCATCTGTCTTTTTCCAATTGGGCTGCTGCATTCTTAGGGTAAATTCCTAGAAGAGGGATTCCTGGGTCAAATGGTATTTTTATTTTGAGATTTTTGAGGAACCTCCATATTGCTTTCCACAATGGTTGAACTAATTTACATTCCCACCAGCAGTGTAGGAAGGTTCCCCTTTCTCCACAACCTCACCAAAATTTGTTGTTGTTTGTCTTTTGGATGGTGGCGATCCTTACTGGTGTGAGGTGATATCTCATTGTGGTTTTAATTTGCATTTCTCTGATGACTAGCAATGTGGGGCATCTTTTCATGTGTCTGTTGGCCATCTGAATCTCTTCTTTAGAGAACTGTCTGTGCAGCTGCTCTACCCATTTTTTAATTGGATTGTTCGCTTTTTGTTTGTTGAGGTGCATGAACTCTTTATATATTTTGGATGTCAACCCTTTATCGTATCTGTCATTTATGAATATATTCTCCCATACTGTAGGATGCCTTTTTGTTCTATTGATGGTGCTCTTTGCTGTACAGAAGCTTTTCAGCTTGATATAGTCCCACTTGTTCATTTTTGCT